GAGGAGCAGCAATGACAAACCAGTGATGCTTTGAAGAGCAGAAGACAGGTTGGCTATTGTAGCCAGAGGGACACTTAGCCAGAGACTTGAAAGAATAGTAGGAACTCAAATTAGGAAGACGTTGCAGCAGAGGCCTGAGGCTGCTGCAGTCGGGGTGTGTGAGGGACAGAGCAGAGTGGGCTGTGGAGAGTCGAGCTGGGCCTTGTAGCCTGTGGGAAGGAGCCTTATGTTTTTCTAGTTGCACCAGGAAGCCCCTAGAGGGTTTTAGGCTGGGTGGTGACCTGCTCTAATTTACATTTTAATGGCCTCATTCTGGCTGCTCTGTTTTGGTCAAGTTAAGTTTGAGCTGCCCCTGGGACATCCAGTGGAGATGTCTACAGGCAAATGGGGATTTGGCTCTGGAGTTCAGAGGAGAGGTCTGGGCCAGAGAGAAAAGCCATTGACATCGGGGTGTGGCATTGAAAACCAGGGGCTGGATTCGAGGCCCAGAGCGGACTTGTAAAACGGGCAGTGATGCCTGAGTAGGGGCCTGGGAGGGGAAATGTGAGATGCTGTACATCCTTACTGTGGTTATTTTCAATTTGCAAAGCATCCCAGTACCCCTTTGGGATAGGCCGCTTGAAGCTTCTGGGGAAAGAATACTTATGTGTTGCTAACAGCAAATCTGGCCGATGGGAAGTTCAGAGGAGGAATTATTTTAGGTGGAATGGGTGGGGAAGACACGGTTAGGTTGTGGCTTGTTTTATTTTTTACCTCTTTAGTTAATTCTCTTTGGAGCAACAATTTTTTAAAACCTAATTTTCTGCAAGCCATCAAATTCAACTTAGAAATTACTATTGCATACATAAACTTAGAAAAACAAGAAAAATGACCTTACCTTTTCCTTTGAGTAATGTTGAACAAACTAAATCCCTTTAAACATTCAGCCCTATGAACAGCCTAATTGCATTCCCTTGCATATTTAATTCCACTTATAAGTGTAATATATTTGATTTTCTTTTTAAGTATTTCAGATACATAACCTAACAAGCATAATTTCCCCAGAATACTTAAACAGTTACTAAAACATCTAATAAATTAAACCTGTAAACAGTGAATTTTAAGTTCTTGTAAACAGTTCAGTGCTTTTAATAGACAGTCAGATTCTCTTATCACTGGTTCTCAGTCTGGGGAGTTAGTAAAATACATCTCTGACATAAAATTAGGATATGGGGGGGGGGGCACCTTTAGTATCATTATAGCACCCCAGGAGATCCTAATATGTAGCCAGTTTTTCCAACCATTGCTAACCTCTCCACTTAAAGTCACAAGTCTAATGTCAATTACTGACATATATTTTATCAATTACCTAGCTATATACTTTAACTTTCATATTTTAAATTGGAATCTCCTTGCTCATCTGTCATCTACGCAACATGTCAAATTCTTTCCAATGTTCCTGATACTTTCAAATACCAAGTGTGCACTGACGCTTACTAAATTCAGGACAGGAACCTAAGTACGGGTGGGGCGAAGGTCGGTTTACAGTCGTGAGGAAGTGAAACACAGAGTTTTTCCTTGTATTGTTTTTTATTAATTATTGTATTATTTTCCATACGGACAACTGCGAACCTGCTTTGCCCCGCCCTGTACAAGCAGTTTGATTTATTCTACTCCCTCTCTTTGCAATTCTAAATTTTCCTGGAGTGTGACAGGACACCCAGCCAGGAGGGGAAACAGTTTTATTCGTGGAAGTGAATGCCAGTCAAGTCGGGGTTACCCCTTCAGCAAGCAGACCGATTGGTGACTGGGACTCGAATCGGGAGGTCATGCCTCCCCAGGGGCGCTGTCCCCAGCAGAGGCCTTTGGATGCAGGGAATGGAGGCCGGTGAGCACAAGGCTTTTGTTCCTTAGCGGGTGCCTCCTAGCAGGTGCTAGACTCGCTGGTTAAAACGCAGGTTTCTGGGTCCCCCGCCCCCCGCCCAGATCTGCCGGGTCCAGATCCTGGAGATCTGACCCAGGAGACTTCATCTGTAATAAACCCTGCACAGGGAGCCACGGGAAAGTTGGAGCAGCAGTTATTTTAAGAGGGCTGGCCTGATGCTGCCCAGGGCAGGTAAACTGGGGAGGCTGGTCCAGGCGTGAGGAGGAGAGACCCGACTTGGTGGTAACAGAGGGTCAGATGGACTTGAAGCCCAGACTGGGGTGGGGAGGAAGAAGGGGGAGGCACACGCCGTTCTGAGCCTGGGTATCTGGCGCAGGAGCCTCCTTCAGACTATTTTTACCTTTTCTATTTGGAAGCTCTGGCCTCCTGGGACCTGTAACTGTCTGATGAGAAACCGTGTCTCCAGCCTGCGGCTCCCTGGAGCCTGATTCGGGTTCAGCCGCCTGCGCTGGGCCAGGTCGGCTTAGAATCAGGGCGCACCTATCAGCCTTCAGCCAGGGGCCGAGGGAAATGTCTCCCTTGCATCCCTTTCCAGGTTCATCCTGGCGAACCAGGCCACTGGAACCATCCGTGGTATTTCCTAAGGAAGAAGGAATAGGGTTATCCCTGCCTGACAAATTTCCCACTTTTTATGGGAATTTGGGGGGGACACTTAAAAACAGTACATGCTAAATGTCAAAACGTAGAATAATAGAAAAACACAAAGTGGAAAAAAAAATCCTGTGCATAATCCTATTATCCAGGCATTACCACAGTAAATATTTTGTGTCTGCTCTAGTCTATGTATGAGTGTGGGAGGCTTTTTTCCCTTATAATAGTGGTATTATATATTCTGTTGTGATAATGAGTTTTTTCCCATTGGTTTTTGGTTGTTGTTTGTTTGTTTGTTTGTTTTTTTTGAGTGGAAGGGAGCGGGAAGAGGAAGAAAGAAAGAGAGAGAGAAACATCAACAAACATTTTCTCATTTTTTTTTTTTTTTTTTTTTTTTGAGTGGAAGGGAGGGGGAAGAGGAAGAAAGAGAGAGAGAGAAACATCAACAAACATTTTCTCAGGAATTTGGGAGTGGCTTAGCTGGGTGGTTCTGGCTCAGACTGTCCCAGAAGGTTGCAATCAAGCCCAGGGCTGCACTCATCCGAAGGCTTGACTGGGGCTGGAGGGCCCACTTCCAAGCTTACTCACATGACTGCTAACAGGTTTCGATTCCTTGCCACTTGGACCTCCCCACAATATGGCAGCCAGCTTCCCCCGCACCGAGTGATTAGAGGGGAGACACCAGGATGGAAGCCACAGCGCCCTTTTATAACTTGACCATGTAAGTGACGTCCTGTCACCTCGGCTCTATTCTCTTAGTCACACAAAACCGTGATACAGCTTAGAAGGGAACAACATCACACGGCACACACATGAGGAGGTGGTGTCGCTGCAGGCCACGGCTGGCTGCCACATCCACAAATGAGTGTTGAGCACCATCAGCATGTCAGGCGCGGCGCTAACACTGAGCTCCCATGCTTTAATCCTCATGGTAATCTTACGAAATAGTATTATTACCTTCCTCTTCCAGGTGAGGCTCAGCGGTAAGCAGTTTGCTGAGAGTTTCCCGGCCTGGAAGTGGCAGGGGTGGGATTCCCACCTGGGTTGAATGATTAGAGGAGGGTTGACGTGGGTGATCAGTGTGACTTCAGGCTGGCTGTCCCTCCCTCTGTTCTTTAGCCCGTCACCTGCTACCTTGAAGGACCATCATTTCTCCCAGGGGGGCCCGTGGACTCTGCACCGGAGCCCCCCTAGATCCTGGCCCTCTCCCAGACCTGCTGCGTGGAAAATTGCTGTGGGCGGGGCCCCCACTGCCTTATTCTGCTGGGGGGAAGGGTTGCGCCTCACTCCCAGGGGTG